TGTGTAGCGCAATTGAAAAATGGTATTCATTAAATTCTGGCTGCTTATATCCACTAGCCTATGAAGTTCGATTCGGGAAGATGTTGATGTTCAACACACTGTTAATTGGTTACCAAGTAGTGCTAATTTGTTTATGCTGGTTCTGTAGTAGATTTGAATTAATCATGAAGGAAAACTATCTCATCATTTTCTCTGAATAATAATTACCATGATATCTCGTCTTTACTTGTGTTACTTTAGGAATTGAAGTGGAAATAACATTCCTTTGGTATGCAACATCTGCTGTATGCATCAAGTTTCGTTTTTAAACCTAGAAAATATCACTTTTGTTTTGTACCTACTTTTGTACTTTATTTCGTGTTACGTAATATTATCTCTGTGTCTGTATAAATGTTTATGTGCGGGATTTCGCAGCACATATATATATTCCCTTGTTTCAATTAATAACTTGTAAATCAATTTCGCCCTTTAGTCTTCTACAAATACTTGCCTCCACCGATAATTTTGTTTGAAGTAATATATTTGTAATGGCATGTTGTGCCCTAGAAAAACACTTATTATGTATATCATTTGACTATCTGAGATAGCCGTAGTTTGGCAGACCAGTATTTTTACTGGGTGATGATTGCAGGTGAGATGGAAATCTGGATCGCGGCCAGATTCTAACCGGCGACCACTGGGTTACCGGCCCGGTGCTCTACCAACTGAGCTATGAGATCAGACTGCTCACCAGAATTTTATTTCACTTCAATCACCAAAGTTTTTGCCCGACTACCATATGAATTCGTGACGCTTTACTACCGCTTGATCGTGTCGACACTGGCTTCCCACCAGTCAGGACTTCTCGTCCCAATCGAGATGTCAGTGAATTAGAGAGGAGGAGCATCATATTGATTATCATTTTGGCTGTGAGATAGCCGTGGTTTGACAGACTAATATTTATATTGGGTGATGATTATATAGTTACTACGTAATCGAGGATATTGTTACCTACTTAATATGGATTCTTATATGTTAGTTAGTTCGAGGCAATCGACAGGAACCCATGCTTGGCTTAAGTTTCGTGATTGTTGGTACTCGTCAGCAAGGCGTATCTTTAACCTGAGTGGAACCTACGTCTCGTCTGAGATTGGAGCCCGCGTAACCCACTGCTGCAGTCAGAACCATTCCCATTGAGGTAATCGGGTCACGATTTACCTCCTACAGGACTAGATTTGATAAATTAATTGGCTATTGGATAGCATCCAGCGTCATGTTGCCAACATGCACAAAACCTGGTTCTGGAACTTTCTGCAGATTGTCTCCAACCAAGTAACATCCATCAAAGTGCACCGCGATGCTGAGCGTCCTGTCTTCATGGCCACATTACCAAATCATCGGTAGAATTCGGTCAGAACTCATAACTAACTACGGTGAAATTGGTTGCCCACTAGTGACCAATGAATATATGAATGTTTATACTTTTACGTATCAAACAGATTTTTTTAATCTATGAAAAGATGACAGTTGAAGTTAATTGGGAACTCTCACGTGGATAGAACTTTAACTAATGACCTTCAGATTATTTGTGCTCTAACGACTGAGTTACAAGACCCAGATGTAACTTGTGCACCTGTGACTAAACGTTCTCCTCAGGTGAGCCCATGATTTAGCTAAGCATAACCATTGATTTTTTAAAGTAGCTATCCAGTTTATTTTTTCCAGTCATAATCCCGAGTATTGCCAATTAGTAACTGAGTGATTAATTGTTTTCTAATCATATCTGTATAATATGCCTAGGTTTATTTGAATTGGTGGGTTATTCTGTAGTCCAAGTCTTCATGCTTTTTGATACTATTGTTAAATTTAGAATTGGCTTTATTGAAGGGATGGATTAAGTGTATGTTTACTACTTTTAATCTGAAGACTCAGTTTCTCTTGTAGCCTAATTGTGATGGGCTGTTTGTTGTCAAAATCATCAAACAGGTGATGGATAATTTTTTTGGTCTTTTCCCTATGGTTTTTAAAGGTAGGTGCTGAACAAGGTTTAATTTACAGTTTTAGAGTGTTAACTCGTCTATCTAGTCTTTGTTTACCAATCGTAGATCCTCGGGTTCGAGTTATTCTGCATCTATGTCTTACTGAACAACTGAGTACTTTCATATGCCCTCTCATCTCGGGCTTCACTTTCAGTATAGCATGCGAATGTACATCAAGCTCCTAAGCCATAATGCTTTAATGGTTCTCGAACCATTAGTGGACCCATTTGTCTTGTTAACGGTATTTTCACTAATCACTGATGACTCAATTGCACCAATAAGGGAAACTGAACTATAATTATATTTATACTGAGATTTTGTCAGCAGCTTGTTCTTTGGATCAGAACTGTAGTCTATTGTTCGAAGTAGTTGTCTTTCAAGCAATTGGCCACGAGTTCGAACTACACACCACATACTAAGGTCTGCGCGGCCATATATTATCATTAGTTGTCATGTAATAGATTTCCGTCATCACGTAAACCACGACTGTCTTAAATGGTTGCTAAGTACATTTCGATCGTGATAAATGTAGCACATTCTTGATGACTGACTGATCAGCGACACGCGATGAACTTTCTAGTATGTCTTCACATAATAACCGCTTAGAAAAAGTTGACTTTCAACCAACTTTCAATCCCACTCCACCTACCAAGATATGACCAATCAAGTAGTATCATCAATTAGTCCTCACATAATAGGTGTGGTTAACTGCCTACTGAATGATTTTGCACAAGTTTGTTGAATATATTTCGATTCGATTTCGAATCAACGTAACAACAAAGTCATCTGGACTCGAAAGGTGAAAACAACGCCAGTGAAAATCATCCTTCATTGCATCAGCGAAAGTTTGTCGTTTATCTCTTAGTTAATCCTGTTGATTTGTCGGGTGACTTTAAAGGCCATCCTAGCAACGATCGAAATAACCAATTAGGTTTCTTCATTTCAGCTGAGAAAGTAGACTTTCGTAAAATACAAAGATTGGGTTGGTTACTTCAGTTGTTGCTAGGGTGACCTTTAAAATCAGTCAGATTTTTTTTTAAATCGTTCTGTTTTACAGACCTTGTCACCTTCTATTTCCACTAGCATTTTGTATAGAACTATGAAGTGTATTCGCCTGTGAGACAATCCGTTGTGATATAGACAAGAGACCAACAGTTCTTTGTGAGTTAGCATAGCGGCTAGCTACTATCCATCTTTACTATATAAAACTAAAAACACAGGCAATATCGAGGCATTCGTGCAGGAGTGCATATTCCAATAGAGACCGATCGATTCGGTCCAATGAACGACGGTATAGTGCAAGCAATAACTCTAAAATGCTAGTTTGCTGAAAATCATTCTATGGAAATTCTTTTGGGTGATACAAAAGAATTGGCATCATTCTGTTCTCAATTATCCTCCGCTAATTGTATAATGAGCTCAAAATTCAAAAATATTTCACCACTCAACTGTAGGAAGAAATAAAACATCCATTCCATCTACGGTTTTTCGTATAAAGTATAAAGTACACACTACACCAAGTACTGTTACACTTTGACATTCAACATCAAAAATTTGTCTTCTATATGCCATCCTAGTCATGAAAGGGTATTCCAGGTATTTACTAAATAAATATTAGACTATTAAATGGTTTGTTTCGTGAAAATTTGGTTAATTAGGTAATCGATTGTTTCTAGGATGAAGCGTTTTTTTTGGTAAGTCAAAATTGAAATGCATTCAACAACTTTGTGGGCATTGATGCAGTAGGCAATGAGCCATACGCATTTTGTGAGGGCTAATTAATGATATGGCCTGACTGTCTAAACTTCGTAAGTGGAGTGGGAATCAAACCCATGACTTATCAGTTGAAAGTCAGCTTCTTAAACCAGTAAGCCACACTTTTGATAAGGTAAATAGTTATCAGATAAACAGTTTAAGTGTAGAGTAACTAATTTCTCGAGTACTTGATAACTCAGTTGTTAGATAGTAAGGAAAAATTTTCACAATTAAGTAGTATGTGTGACTTTAAAAAATAATAATAATCTTGCTTTCACTTATTTGGGGGCTTGGATCAACGGAAATGGATTGGATTTTGATGCAATCTTAACTTGTATACAAAAAGCATTTCTACAATTTACCAACTGATATCATCTCTACTGGTGTCTGGTTAGATATTTGCCAACCTATTTGTAGGATGATTATTTTACGTTGAAATTCATTCAAGCCTATTATACGATTGTCATACACCGGTATTGAACTTAGACGATATGAAGATACTGATGGTTTTCGAACACATTGTTTTTCCACAGAACTGCTCACATATGATGGAATCATGGTGTGAGTGATTTTAAAGTTGGATGAAGACTACTATGCAAGGCAGGTAAGTCAGTCAATGTGGTTGTGAACCTTCAGAAATAGAGGTGACTTAGACATATATGTGACCAGATGAAACACAAAAGCAGTCTATGTGATAAGTTGAACCAATCCACTTCTTTACGATGTTCTACGTTGATTTCTTCTCCCTATCTATCTTTTTCTTTTCGAAGATTAAGCGATTATCAAGATTGGGACCCGTAGATCATATATCAAGTGTTCACAAGAGTATGTTCACATAAATTAGGTTATATCGGTTTGCATGACTAATTATTTTCAATTCTTCAATGATTTTCACATATAGCCTTTTAGCATCACCATTTTATATGGCTTAAAAACCTGCAAATTCGCTATTTTACTGGTTCATGTATACCTACTAGATCTATCAATGCCATCATATCATATGTAGTCAAAACCCGAAAACTTAAAATCCCGCGGATATCGTTGCTTAATTATTAAAAAATTTAACGTATATAAAGTTCACAAGTGATCGATTCTATGTAAACACTAGAGTATTATTTCTTTTTTTTGATATCTTTCCATGAAAAAACAACTGAATCACCTTAGTTTTTAAATACATTACAGGAATGTTGTTTGTTCACTTTTTACTTTTTTATCCTAATCATTTAGCAACTGGTAACAGTATTACTGATTCGACAAATGTTTGATACAATTAAAGAAGTTTTTTTACCACTTGGTCAATCACGTCTACATCAAGTATGGTTGTCATTAAGATATGAACAGAAACGTTTCTTTGATAAAAATAAAGTTGAATCTAAAGAAAATGATTCAATGTCAACATCTACATCATCATTAACGCAGACATCAGCATCATGTAGTAAAATAAATACAGATGACGATCAATTTCCAATGTTACCTAAAGATAATGTTCAAAATGAATATAACGCTAAAGATGATATTGATCCAGAAATTCTTATACACCAGAGAAATTTATCATCAGATAAAGAGCAAAAGATAATGACTAGTTCGAAATCATTTGGTAAGAGATCTAGTTATATTTTATGCTAATTTTTGTTAAAGTCTGCATTTATAGAATATTTCCACTTATCAATAATAATCTAGTTTAATAACACTTATTATCAACTCAATGTAATGTACAATGTTGAAGTTGTTTATCATATTTTAGTGAAGTTACCTATTATGTGTAAAAGTTATGAATTTATGTTCAAATTATTTTTATCTATAGATAATTCAGATGAAGCCAGAATCGCAGCAGCGGAAAGAGAAGCTACTCTCCTACGAGTAAGTATGGTATCATACTTGTTCTTTGGAATAGTTCAATGTATAATGAAATGATCAGTAGTAATTTGAAGTGGCGATATATACCCATGAATATTCATGAATAAGAACAAGATATGTATATCAACGAAGAAGAAATATTTCTTTTCAACAACTTCGTTATCAAGCTGTAAAGTTGTATTTATAATCGGTGAAATGACAGATAATTGCACTAAAAAGAGTTGTACAGTCAATATGCAAAACATACAGTTGGTGTTGGCGGTGGTATTTGTTCAAGGGGAAGGCATAGGAAATGGGTCACTGAATAAGGAACCTTTTAGGAATTATCGTGGTGCGAACTTGACAGATGTAGAGGCCGATCACTAATTCATTCGAACTTATTATATACCCATGAATACGAGACCAACAAAGAACACAATGGTATATTTGCGAGGTCGGGCCAAGATACCGATGCGTTCTAAGTGACTAGAGGGTCTATTAAGAGCAGTGAAACGTAATTCGACAACGTGCCGAATGGCGAGGATGCTTAACCAGTTGACTTCAGTTTAGCGAGTCCAGTTAAACTATGAAGGTCAGCATTAATGTTGAATCTCGTCGAACCCTAAGCTATTGATTCTGGAGAAGTGTGTGACGCTACAAACGAATTGTTTACAAATGGTGATATAAGAGATACGTGCTATCAAAGAATTGTAAAACGATGATAATTTAACTGAAACATGCAAAATGGGTTGATGAATGAAGAACAGAATGATATTAAACGGTGAAATATGTGTCCTATGCTGCCAATGAAGTGAGAAATGATGATAATAAAAGAGAAGTGTGCCAAAGTGAAGTGAAATGAAATTGACAAAATAACCAAAATGAATTATTAAGATCAAGGTAGAGAAACTGGTCTCACAAAACGTTTTTGAGTGCAAAGTTATTTTTTTCTCATGTACAGCTAGTGCTTCAGTTATGCATAAGTAGTGGAAACGTAGATCTTTGGATTAGTTCAATTTAACTTTGTAAATTGCCCTAAAGTATGAATCTCAAGGTGCTGAATGACGTAACTCTACTAGGCGCTCACATTTGGGTAAAGTTGTTTTCCTTCGCTCGCCTTTGGTAAGCCAAACAGGGTAATATTCAGCAACACGTTTTCGGAGGACCCGCTTACAGCGTCCAATATAGTCAGCTCCACAGGAGTATATGACTTTGTAGATACACTTAGATGTGTAAATAAGTGGTAGCGTATCCTTCACGCATTGTCTAGGCAGATGATGGCTGGAGAAAATCAGTTTCAGTCTAACAGCATAAAAGCTACTATCGATGCATTTTGACAGACGGCTTCTCAGCACTTCGGCTGAGATTTTCTTAGGGACTGTAATAGGATGAGGAGTGATTCGTTTCTTCAGATTTTTATCAATAAATCTTTTATGGTTCCTGTTATTCGATGGTGTTGTTCCAAGAGTTTTAATTTCAACATCGACCGTGTCTTCTGAACAGACTTTGTGGATTCTAGAACACAGCGAGTGAATGAGATTTCTTTTATAACCAAGAGGTACCGAACTATTAAAGTTAGTGAACTGGCCGGTCCAAGTTGGTTTGCGATAGACTGACCTTTGAATCAAGCCATCATCCCTCCTCTTTAACATTACGTCTAGAAAGTGGAACATTGAATTTAACTCTTCCTTCAAAGTGAATTTAATGGACGGGTGACAATCATTGAAACGTCTTAGCAGCTCGTCCACTGAACGTGTTTCGTCACAAATAAGAAAAGTATCGTCAATGCACCTTTTATACAAATAAAGTCCCAAGATTATTTCTTTAAGTGACCCTTTTCGAGCTTTGCCAAGACACGGTCCAGTGGAGACTCCATTGCTACTTCGTCCGTCTGATTATAAACCATATCGTTTAATCTAAACTGTACATTAAACGTACATCTTAATATCAGTTCTTTTAGTTGGCTCATAGGTAATCCAATGTTAATATTATTAGAGTCAATGTAATCGTTTAGATAAAAAAACAGTTTCAGTAAGTGAGACATTGGTAAATAAAGAACAAACATCAAGCAGAAAACAGAGTGCAATGGAAGTTTGCTACTGAAGCCCTATGTTCCACTAGGAACCCAAGGGAAAAATAATAATAATAATAATAATCAAGCGACATCATACGCTTACCCATAACGTTGGTATTTTCGATGCAGCGAACAAAACAAAATGCATCAGGAAGACTATATTTCCACAGGTTCAAGGATTTTAGCGAACCACTTTGCCAATGAGCGGTAAGGTGAGCACATCCAATACTGGGCGAAGAGGAAGAAGATTCCTATGCATCTTCGACAGACCATATAAAGGGGGCATATTTAAACCAGATGGTCTTAGTTGTCTATACATATCCAGGGTAATTAAAGATTCTTCTTTCAATTTCTAGAATTTGGTTTTCATTATCTTCTATTCTATCCTTCTCATCTCTTGATTTTAGAAGTTTATTATCATCCCTAGGAATAAAGTATAGTTTATTAATATAATCCGACCGATCTAAAACCATGATGTTTTGTCTGGGCGTACAAGTATAACATCCTTGTTATTTAGTAGCTAGTTCAATTGCACTTTGTGCTCTTTTGATACCATACCTCATTGTTGACATGGTTTCTTCAAATATTGATAGAAGCAATGTAATAATATGGATTTGAAACACTCGAAGCTTTCATCAGTAAACATCAAGATTAAGTCTCAAGTCTGGCTGATAAGATTTTCAAGTTACACTTTTGTATCAAGTTCACTAGTTTTAGATGAAGCAGAACAAAAGTTTGATCCCAAAAACAAAATCTACATCTGAATGTTTGACAAAATTATGCTGAAGTGGTTAAACATGTATCTTTTAGGTGCATCTGAGAAATTTTCGTTTGACTTAGTTATTTTTAAAACTTTTCAATAATTTGCTGCTTACATCTTCATATCTCTTCTTTTTCACCTCTGATAAATAAAATTCAAATGAATCACGTTCTTTACCAATACCTTTTGTATATTGACTGAGCAACTTTTTTTAGTGCAACAATTATCTGTCATTTTACCGATTATAAATACAACTTTACAGCTTGATAATGAAGCTGTTAAAAAGGAAACTTTCTTCGCTGATGCACATCCTGTTCCTATTCATAAGTAATTTCAAGGTCATTCGATGAAATAAAACTCAACTCAAAAAAACTCAACTAAAAAGCATATAATTTCCATATTATGCTAGATGGATCATATTCTGTCTTTTATTTGTAAAATACTATTTACCGGCAAACTGAAACAGGGTGAGTGTATAGAGAGGTTTAAACTTGTGTCGCTATTGGCAAGAAGTGTGTCTAAGCCATTTAGTTATGACATAATATCATTATTATTTTTACCCCTTTCTAGTTCATTGTATTACATGACATGAAAAATCTCTTTCAATCAATTCCATTATATTCATTCCTCAAGTTGAACAGTTTAATCAGCATACGCATATTTTTTTACTATAGTGTTGATTGAACTGGGACTCAGAGATGTTAGGAATCACAGTATATCAGATAGTCCTATGATCCAAGTAGGTGCTACACCTTATTACTATTATTATTTGTCCCTTGGGTTCCTAGTGGAACATAGGGCTTCAGTTGCACGTCACTATTTCACCTTGTTCTCTGCAGTATTCTCAATCAGGCCCCACCACTGCCCACAAGCTCTCATTTCTTCCTCACATGATCTCCTCTATGTCACCCTCACCTCGGACGCCCAACTCGTCGTTTCCCATTTGGATTCCACTCGAGTGCCTGGCGCGTGACATCCCCAGTCGGTCTTCTCAGTGTATACCCAGTTCAATCCATCTCCACTTCCTTCTGCATATTTGTTGGGTGATAGGTTCTTGTTATGTTCGTTCCCCGAGTTGCTTGTTGCTTATTCTTTCTGGCCATTTGATCGATCTTCAGTATGGAGTGTAGGCGGTAGCTGTTGATGAATAGCTGTAGTATTTTGGAAATGCTTTTCGTAACGCACCAAGTCTCTCAACCACCACATGGATGCACTGACTCACTTGACTGACATTAGTGTTGAAAATCCGGATGTTGTTCACGCTTTATGCTAAGTGAAGTGAAGTGCAGTGCAGTCGATCCCCACACTGATTTCAGATTAATGAAGGCCTGTCTTACTGTCTTTCCGATCCTGGCAGCTTTGATATGTTCATCTGTGCCGCCACCGCCACCACCACGTGTAGTTGAAACGTTGCTGCCTAGGTAGATAGGTAGGTGAACGAGACAACTTCCTTTACATTTCTCCCGTTGATGGTAATCGGTGCTTGTTGTTATTGTTGGTGGTGGTGGTGGTTGGGTATCTTGATCACCTCTGTCTTCTCTACGTTCACCTGAAGGAAATCTCGTCCTCCCTAGCTGCCTCGCCTCTTCTGTCGACTTGTTGGCTTTCGCCAGTAGATCTTCGAGTTTGTGCGACATAAAACATTAGACATAAATCATCATCGTTGACGAAATGCAAATCTTCTTCTGGGGTCTTTTCATCGTTCCAGCAGGTGTATGCCCCTCTTATCACATCTCCTCATAGATGTCTGTTGCATGATCCAGTCCAGTCCAGTCCATTCCAGCCGACCACAATCATGGAGATCATCGATGATAGTAGGCAACCTTGTCTTACTCCTATTCCCTGTCTTCACTTCAAAGTCATCACTGAGCTTTCCATTGTGAATTACTTGGCGTATAGCATCCTCATATAGCAAAGTATGTAGCTGTTGAATGAGGTTGATAAAGGTTTGTGGGACTGAAAGCGTGGTATTGAAGCAGCTGCCTGCCAAATTACTTCTCGATCGATGCAGTCGAAGGCCTTTTCAAATCGATGAAGTTGAGGTGGAGAGTTGACTGCCATTGTATGCTGTGTTCTATGATGATGCGTAGTATAGCGTTGCAATTTGATGCTCACATGATTTGTTTTTCCTGAAGCCAGCCAGCCTGTTGTGGTCATAATTTTGAATCTAGAACACTTTTTATTCTCTCC